ACAAAATGGTGATAAGAGAGTCCAGAGAATTGGTAATAAGATCCCAGGAAAATCAGACATTCACTTCCAAGAAGAGGAGAGGGGAAGCAGGGACCATGCCATGTGGTAGGGACCATGTCGTATGGAATTTGGGCTCTAGAGCCATCAGGCTGGGTTTGACTCCTGACTTCACCACTTAAGAACTGTATGAAGTGGGCAAGTTACTTCTTTCTCTGGGTCTCAGTTTCCTCACTGAAAAATGTAATTATTAATAGTCTTGGCTATTAATGGAACCTATCTCATAGGGCCATTGTGAAAAACAAGGAAGTGATGCACGGAAAGCATTTTCCATAGAGCCAGACATAGTAAGCATGCAATAAATACTGTAATCTTTAGGTAACGATAATGGATAATTCAGGAGATTCAAAGGGGAAAGTTCCCAGTAACAAGTTAAAAACTTTGTATTTATTTTTCTGTGGGCCCAATTTCCTGCTTTAAAGCAGCTTTAATGCTACATTTGGTTCCTCAAGGGATGAGGTAAAGAAACATTCTAAGGAATCTATAGAAAAGTTATTTCTTTTAAGTCTTTAATTATAGTTCTCCCTAAGTATATTTAAAATTTTTAGGTGGTTAATGGATAGTCTACAAAAAGTGCCATACTTACATACAAAATGTTCACTTGGAACACACATGTTTCTAACTAATAAGCCTTACTGTTCCCAAAGAAATAAATCATTTTAAACGTTAAGTGCTAGAAATTTAAAAATTCCTCCTCAGAAATTATAGAAAATTGCAGAAATTATAAAAAAATAAAGAGAGCTGATGGAAAAAAGTTCTCTAGTATTTGCATAAGGATTTTACAAGGTAGGATGGCAGAAAACACACACACACACACACACACACACGTGTTATTTAGTATTAGACTAGTTTAGGTTTACTCAATTTCAGAAAGAACCCCACAGCTGCTCTGTTTCTGCCAATGACACCCTTCCCCCAAATGGAGGTTGGGATCTCAAGCCCTTCTCATCCCTGGCATTTCATCTTCTTGCTGCAGGATCCACTAAGGCTCTCTATAATATTCCTTTGCTACTTTCCTGTTAGAGCCTTCTCTTGACATGCCAGGAAAAATGCCCAGTGGTCTAGGCCACCATCCAGGCTCCACCTTCCTCCCCATCAAGACGAAAGAGTTTCAGTGTTAAAGGGGTTGATACTTGGGGCGCCTGGGTGGCTCAGTTGGTTAAGCAACTGCCTTCGGCTCAGGTCATGATCCTGGAGTCCCAGGATCGAGTCCCGCATCAGGCTCCCTGCTCAGCAGGGAGTCTGCTTCTCCCTCTGACCCTCCCCCCTCTCATGTGCTCTCTTTCTCCTCTCATCCTCTCTCTCAAATAAATAAATAAATAAATAATCTTTAAAAAAAAAAAAGGGGTTGATACTTAAAACTCAGAGATGCTCAAGCTGTAGCAACTGAGGACTGAGGCCTAGGACAACTATTAGCATTATTCTAGTGATATTTTAAATTAATCGGTTTTTGTGGGTTTGTCTGGCCTGTGGATGCTAATAACAGTGCTTCTTTTGGAGGTGCCTGGCTGCCTCTGTCAGTAGAGCACATGGCTCTCAATCTCAGGGTCATGAGTTCAAGCCCCACATTGGGCATGGAGCCTATTAAAAACAAACAAACAAACAAACAAAAAACAGTGCTTCTTCTGGAAAATGTAGTCTCAATTCTGCAAAATCAACTTCTAAATAAACTTTGCAACCCATTTAAAATTGAGTACATTTCCTCAAAAAGTTAGAGAGTTAACATATGACCCAGCAATTCCAATCCTAGGTATATACCCCAAAGAACTGAAAATAAGGATTCAAAGAAATGCTTGTACACAATGTTCACAGTAGCCAGAAGGTGGAAACAACCCAAATGTCCATCAGTGGATGAATGAATAAACAAAATGTGGTTATATACATACAATGGAATATTATCAACCCTAAAAAGGAATGAAGTAGATGAAGTAGTGGCACAAGGTACAATACGGATGAGCCTTGAAAACATTACATAAAGTGAAAGAAGCTAGACACAAAAGGACAACTACTGTTTGATTTCACGTACATGAAATATCTAGAATAAAGCAAATTCCTAGAGACAGAAAGGAGATTAGGGATTTCCAGGGGATTTTAAGAGGAGAAAATTGGAAATTATTGCTTAATTAAAAGTAGAGACTTCCTGTTTGGGGTGATGAAAACCTCTGGAAATGGTGATGATTGTGTAACACTGTGAATGTACTAAATGCTAATGAACTGTACACTTTAAAATGGTTAATTTTGTGATATGTGAGTTTCAAATCAATAAAGAAATTTGTATATAGTTAGTATCTAGAAGTATATAAAAATTGAAAGAGCAGATGAAGTACGTTTTGTTCGGTAAAGAACATATGGTGGTGGGAAAAGAGGACTGACTCAAGAGCAAGAAAATCCAAAAACTTGAGTTCAAGCCCTAACTCAGCCATTACTACTTAGGCCTTCTTAAATGAGTCACTTCCCTAGCCGAGCCTCAGTTTCACCATAGAAGGAATATGGATGCTATCTGCTCTGCATAATTCTGAGGCTGAGATTCAGAAACTGCATGGAAAACTCTAATACATCAGGAAAAAAAGTACTAACTACTATAACAAATGGAAACTTGGAAGCATTGGAACCTCAAAAAGGAAAAAGATGAATATATGCTTTCTCTTTCTAACACCTTATCTCTTACTTCAGATGCTAATGAGGCTTTAGGCAAATCTTGAGAAACAATTATTTGGTCTGGAGGAGGAGGTTCAATACAGTCCAGGGTAATTGCTGGAGCTTACCAAGTTGAGGAACCAAGTCAAATTTAGTCTGAATCTGCAGTAGCCGACCCAGTGTAAAACAGATTCTGTCTTATGCAGTAAGGAAAATCAAGCCCCAAGGACATTCTAGAATCAATCTGTAGTCCATGACCATCTTTCAGAATATAAATGATCAGTAGGTGGAATGGGGCCACTTCAAAGCTTCACTGGTAATATGTGGGATGGGAAGCAGAACTCGAGTCTGTTTTGGTTAGAATCTTCAATAAATCAGGCTCCAAGTATGAAAAACGGGAAGGAAACCAAATTTCCAGCTTTTTTCCTAGTGGCACAAGGCTCCTTCTATAGTAACATCTAATTTATCCAACCCAATGAGGAAAGGGTATTGAAAGAATGTGTTTTAAAGAAATTAGCCTCACACTACATCAAAAACTAATGATGTAATGTATGATGATTAACATAACATAATAAAATAAAATTTAAAAAAAAGAAAAGAAATTAGCCTCCTCAAAATATTTAAAGGTAATAATTTAAAAATGTGTATAGAAGTTACACTACCGGGTATTTACATTTCTTTATACAGCTAACATAACTAAAAATTTCAAAATCCCTTAGAAAACAAAGGGAAAATACAAATACGAAACAATATACTGGTTTACGGGATACTTGTTGAATCTACACAAATGTATAAGACTGAGCGTACATATAAGTTGGTAGGGCAACGATAAACATGTTTTAGGTAATCTAGTACAGTGGGAAGGATGCTGTATGAGAGGGTTCTGGTGACTTGAATTCTAGTCCAAGGTCGGCCACTTAATGATCTGTGTGACCTTGAGCTTTTCCTGTAACTCTCTCTCCTCTCTACAATAAGAAGGCAATAGTTCTCAAAAAATAAGTTGGTTTTTTTTTTTTTTTTTTTAATTTTAAGCAGAACCTTTTCTTTAAATGAACTCTTCCAAGAAGCCTGCTATTTCAAATAAACTCGGAGTTGCTCTGTTTGAAGTAAGGTACGAAATCCAAACGCCTGTCTGCTTTCTGCTCTCTTATTGTCCTGGCAGCCCCAAGGTGCCTCTGAAGAAGCTTTAGGGCTCCACAGAACACAGTTTGAAACCCACTGGGCCAGATAAAGCCGAAGTCTCTTCCTGTTCTAATATGTTCTGATTTCACTAATATAGGCATTTTCAAATGTCCCATATAAATGCTTATTTTTGGAGGAGTTCTTTAATTGTAAATATATTTTTGGCAAATACAGAAGAAGTAGTTCAGGAAAGAATTCCAATCTATTATTACTAATTTACTAACCTACTTTACTATTTTATTAATCTAACTTTAACATGGCCAATAAAATTAAAGCAGTTAATTAGATTAAAGGAATGAGTTTTCCACTCTTACATTTTGACATTTTTTCTTAATATAATTTACTTTTAATTTGGTATGAGTAATTCGTATATATTTCTCATTTTTACCCCTTTTGTAGGAGCAGCATTTTAAACAATTACATATATTCCTTTAAAATATACACATACACTGTTTTTTTTTTTTCTGGTAGCTCACTGTGCACTTCGATCTATACAATCACTATTGGCAATCAGCATTAAATGTCAATCTACCCTCTGGTTAGGAGCTAACTTGCTGTTCTAACCCATTTTTATAAACCTTCCTATATACCTTAATCCTTTCAAATGCAACTGTGACACAAACTATTACAGACTTTTAAAAACCTGTTCTCTTGGGAAAAAAAAAAAACAACTGTGGAGCATCAGTAACCAGATAGTATTCTCAAATTTCAGTGATCTAGTCCATGGAGCCGTCCCCTATGCATAGTGCTCTGTTTCATGCAGTACATGGCTTTAGCTGGCCAAATCTTTTTTTTTTCCCAATGAATCAGTAGAACAGTGAAGATCTTACTTTTTTTTTAAGCAGTGGCATATCAATGAGGCACAGATGTGTATTCCAACTCTGCATGGATGAGCACACTGTTCAATAGTGCTGGCTCACACGGTATCAGGGCGAGTTATCACTTCCCATGAAGGCACTCTTATCACCAGGGCCCAGAGAGGTGGCTGTAAATCGCAGCCTTTTTATTTTCAAGGCAGTTCTGCTGAACATTCAGGCTTCAAAGATTCACACTTCCAAAACTCTATAAGAGTTTGTGAACGCTCAATTTGCCAAAACTGTTTACAGTGTAATTGGGCACCGTACCTGTGTCCATGAGATAGCGAAGGCGCTTCTCCACCAGCGCGGCACGGGTGTCAATTTGCTTTTGCTCATTCTCTAGTGCTGCCAATTCTCCTACAACATACTGACTGGTGTCTTTGAACCCTTTCTGTTAACGAGAACAAACAGGAAGGAAAAAAAATCACTTGTAAGTTGCATTTTTCCTTTCTACAAACACTTAGTAAAGCACTTACCTAGAGAACCAAATACACTGTTAGTATCACCCTTAGTATGAAAGAGCAACTCCCTATGATTCAAAAAATTTTCCTATATGTTATGTATAACAAAACTTTTGTAAACAGAGAAAATCTCAGCTGTTTCATATTATAATTCAACAACCAGATTTGCCATATTTAAAAAGTTAGCACTGAGAAAAAAAATTCTCCCTAAAGTCAGAGTTATTTAAGCATGAACAAGGATGGAAGATAATGTTCCCCTTGGTGGCTGTCAAAACAAATACCAATGACATTTCATTCAAATGTGCAATATAAAAAAAAATGGAGCTTTACTAAGGAAATGATTCTTAAAGTATCTACTCTGAAAAAAAAAAAAAAACCACCCAGATTTGTCCTTACAAAAATACAAAACTAAAGAGACACATTTCTTGATTTTATAGTAAATATACTATTTAAAATACTTTTTAAAAACGATAAAAGAGAAGTTTCGAGTATCTCCAGCTTTCCCTCCAGCTGGCTCCTGTACTTGAACATGTCATTCTGTTGATGTATCACTAATTATTGTAGCTGCGAATTCTAACTTGACAGGTGGTTTCAACCTTGCTACATAAGCTCTAATGCAACTAGTAGACCGATTTGGTTAATCTTCCATCTAACCAAATTTGGATTTCATTTTGAAATTTTGCTTTTACAGTCATCTGTGTTTAAAAAATCATCCTTAGAAGTTTTATTTGTAGCAGTTCTATTATAATGTACCAGTACAGTCTTAATTTTTACTTTCATATTACACATTTAAATCATTAGGGGGCAGGGTTATTATTTATGGAATAGTTACAAATGGATTAATTATAGCTCCCTTTGGAATACCAGCTTACCTTGTGACATTTCTAGAACTAAGTTTCCTCAGTAGCCGAGGAATACTGAAGAAATGCTTGAGTGATTACTTTCACCACCACCACTACTAACATCAGCACTTATAACATTATGTATTCAGAGAAACAAATGTGAACAATCTCTTCTATCAAATCCCTTCCCTACCTAGAAGCATATTAATCTCTAAGAAGCCATGAGGAATTATCTTTTAGTACTCCTTAAACAAGAAACAAAATTAAGAATTATGAGCATATTTTGGAATTCTCATGATCAATAAACATATCCAACCATATGTGTAATTTATGTATCTTTGGAACTAGTAAATTCACACGTGAACTCAATTTATACCAGCTTACTGTTAAATTGATTATGGTAGCTGACAAACTTAAAGGTGAAATATATTTTACAAAATCATAAAACTGAGAGTTGCTCAGGATAGCATATCAAATAAGTTACTGTATTTTTTAAAGATTCATAAAAATGGATATTCTCCCATCTCAATATAAAATATAACAAAAATTATAACAATATATGCCAATGGTAATTTTAAAATCTGGAATAACCTGGTGAATGCTTTTTGTATCTATCTGCCATACAGCAGAGCATTTTCAAAAAGGACCTTTTTCATTCTCATCCAAAGGGACAAAACAAACATAGTAGTCTGCAAAGACAACATGAGTAAGAAAGATATAAGAAAGCAAAAATGATAAGCAATACATAAACTTCATTGTTTCTACTGACTGGCTCAGTTAAAAATAGTAAAAAAGTTTATAACCAGATTTCTTTAGTGTGTAAGTATATAGTATACTCAAGTATTCTGCAACTTACAAATTATACCAAATATTCCATCATGATAGATCAGTGAGCTGTTCTATATACTAAAATCTGTCTTAGTACAACTTAAAAGTAAGAAGTTTTTAGGACCCTAATTTGTTATTTGTAATTCTGAGTGCACTTACAAGGGATTAAAAAACCCAACAAAGACTATTTTAACAGTAAAAACAATGAAAATATTTTACACAAACTATATAGATAATAAAAAAAGTAGCACCGCTACAGAGAGCTATGCTTCCAGACAAAAATTCAAGTTAAAACTTGCTCTTCCTGCTTCTGTCCCGCAGCTGTCCATCAAAAGCAGCTTTCTCCCTGCGGTCTATCAAATATTTCCCTCACAAATCAATTTTACACATGATCAGCCCATACCCCTACTGAGCTGAACCTCCCCGTTAATTAAGTGAAGAAATTACCATATATATTATATTAATGCAAACATCATTCAGCTAGTAATTCACGGCTGATCTGGATAATGGAAAGGTTGAACACCCATTAACCCAAGCCAACAAAATGGGTTGGCTGAGAAATTCTAGCAGGTCTCATGTGACTTTTCCCTCTAACTGCAGCTCTGCGGTATCTGCTATTGTAATAATTAAAATCCTCCCGGTAGATCAATACTGGAATCTCTTTATGGGAAGTGCCCTGATGGAAATGTCTCAAGGAAGCTGGGGCTGTGGAACTCTGAAAAATTCATTTTTTTTATCTGACAATTATCACCACACTGCAGACTAATTCAACAGTGCACCCCTCTCACTCTGCTTTGAATGCACTGGAGATTGACATCTTAAAAAACCTAACATCTCATTTTAACAAATAAAGGCACTATTTCCACATACAGTTTGGAATTATCAGCAATCATGAAACCACACAAAAAATTAATATACATTAAGCACTTCATCTTCTGATGGCTTCCTCTGAGTTTCAGTTATCGCTGCCTTCTCCTCATTTCCTTTCTTTGTATCTTCCTGTATTGATCTCTGCCTTTTCATCTCTTAAAAAAAAAGGGGGGGGGAAAGACATGTAAAATTATTATAAAGCTTGATATTTGTGTATTGAAATGTGGATTTACATTATCAGCTTATATATATATATAAATATATATATATTTATATATAAAGCTAAATACTATTAAATCATAAGATGGGAAAACATTTCTAAAAGTGTTCCTACCTGGTCTATTGTCAACATATTGACTGAAAGACTGAAGCTGAGTTTTTCTGACTGTAGAATCCTTGCTGAACACAACAGGATTTCTAAATCGTTCTGCTGCTTTTTGTAATCGCTCAGTCCGGAGATCTTCTGTGCCATTCTAAAAATAAAACATAGTAAGACAGTCTTGATTGTATAAACATGAAATTACATATAAGTAAAACAACTTCTTCTGGTTTAAGATAATGCCAAGTCAGAAACTTTTTGAAAGAAAAAGGATTTTAAAGAGCTCTAAATAGTTTAACTACAAGTTCTGTTGCCTGTAACCAAAACTTTGGGAGACATGGTTTAGCCGGAGGATCACTCTTGATAACTTTGATTCAATTAGACACTGTAAACCTGTGTCTTCTCCCAATGATATCTATCATTTAAAAGCCATGTTGTTTCTTTCTATTCCCCCACTATTCTGCCCCCTCAGTTTGTACAGTCCCACAGACTTGTATGACAAGAAGAACTAGTTTCTAATTTTATGCCCATTGAGATAAACCACTAATGCTGGATGAAGGCTAAAAGGTAGGATTATAATACTACCCCACTGAACTGCATTTCATCAGCTATAACTTTCCAAAGCCAGATTTGTAAGTAAGCCCTTTACAGCTAAGGAAACTACAATTATCTTTTCCAGAGCTTCCTATGTTAATACTGGTAACAAATTCAAATGGTTCTATCAACAAGAAATATCCCAGAAGACTGAACTACTGTGGTGTGTGGAAGCTGCAGATACCGAGGTGCTGTGTACCAAACAAATATTTCATTTTATACCTAATCTTTTATTATTTTTATTAAGTGTTTTGAAAGTAAATAGGGAAAGGCTAAGATGCATGACTAATAGCTAAGCCTGCTGAATGCTGAAACTGGTTATCAAAAGCTACCAAGACTTTGCCCTTCCTCTGCATTGAGACAATCAGTAATGAGGGAGTCCTCCAATGGCCTATTCTCTAGCCTCAAGGAGGCCCGGGATACAGAATCCTCAAGGGAAGGTAACAGTTTATCCTTTTCCACAAACACAGAATGCCTCATTTATAAATGTGTAAACTGCATTTTATTAAAAAAAAAAAATAAAACCCCAAATCAATGCTGAAAGCTTCAAGAGAACAGATGGACTCTATATGTTCTTTATAAGCACCATTTAAAAAATCTTAACCAAAAAGATTCACACAAGGACAAGCTGTTTAAAGCACACCTTTTGATGAAATAACTTTAAAAATCACCACATAAGAACTTTTTTTTAGAAAGCAAAACCAATTTCATCTATTTAGACAATTAAACCTTAAGAATAAAAATACCTCTGTTTTATTTTTGAACTTATATAATATCTTTATCATTGGGATCATGCTTATAGTACACTAGCTATGCAGTTAGGACAGAAACAATTTTGGCTATTATTTATTTGCTTGTTTGTTTAAGAAAAGTGTGTATTCTTACTGTTATCATTATAATAATTGCCCAATAGTTTAAAACTCAAGTCTTTACCAAAATAAACAAACAGGGCTAAATTTTTTGAGGCCTGGCAACGTGCTAAAATATCAGTGCGATTAGCCAGCAAATCCCATCTTAAGAAACGTTTTTATGACTAGGGACTTCTGCCACTTTACAAATGTATTCCTCTAAACCCACTAATTCAGTTAGCCTTTTCAATCCATTGTATTATTCTTAGGCCAGCGTCATTCTGCATTAAATCCGCCGCAGAAAGCTAAATTGAACGCAAAAAATCAGACCTGATCCAGGCTTCCTTTTGTTCAAAGATAGAGACCAGAAGTCCTCTGGTGATGCCACACACTTTCATCACCAATTTATAGAAACCAACGGTATAAGGGAAAAGCAATGAAAGTCATTGTTTTGGGACTTCAAAGCATCTCTGTGTCAGAGGAAGGAGATCCTTTCAGTCAGCAGGGCAGTTCCCATCGTCCGCAGGTGGGTGAAAAGTTATACAGGACTAGAAGTGCCCTAAAGCTACAGAAATATTAATGATGCCATGTGAGAAAAGGGGGATGGATGGCTTCGTGGGGATAATATAAATAGTGTAAATCAAAATAATCTCATGTGGCATTTGGGCTAAAATCTTACCCAAGTTAAGATTCATACTGGCACAAAACACACGCAAGTATCTCTATATACAGTCACACACCATCTTCAGTTATTAACATTAATTCTAGTTCACCTAAACAGGTCAAAGGTTGAGGATGATAGGAAAAAATGCTGGCATTCTCTTAGCAATATTCTTCCTAGTAAAATATGAATACATATAGAAGTCAAGAATAGTTTCTACTTTCACCAACACATCAATTTAAAGTAGTAGTTTCTCTGGAAAACAGTGTATGAATACTGATTACCATATTGCTACTTAATTGATTAGCTATTCAATGAAAAATTTTATAGCTTAATCTTAATGTGAAGAATCTGTAAAATTGATTTTAGGATTATAAAGTGCCAGTGGAAGCTAGAATACACAGATACAGAGTCAAATATTTTAAACAAGTAAGGTTTACCTTAATGTCTTGCTCTGAGCTCTCAGTTATAGCTTTCTGTGCAGCACTGGATAGTGAATTTGCCACCTGTGGCTGAGCTTCTAGGAGCTTCTTTAGCTTCAAGTCCACCAACTTAGTGTTTTGTTCTGTTAAACACACAAACACTATGAATGACTGAGATGCATTAAGATGTGCAGGCTATCAATTTAGGGGACATCATAAAAATATTACTATTATTTTAAGGAAAGACATTAGGCTTGTGAAATAACATATTAGACCTGACAAATGCAGAACTCTTCAAATATATGCAAACTGTAATACATACTATATAACTATAGTATAACTGAGTAGTCTTTAGGTATGTTAACTATATTTCCCCGTTTTTTTTTGAAGAACACTTTTTAAAAAAATTTTATTTTTTAGTTTTTAGAGAGAGAGAACGAGCACACGTGCACACATGTTGGGAGGGAGGGGCAGAGACAGAGAGGGAGAGAATCTCAAGCAGACTCCCTGTTGAGCCCAGAGCCTGATGAGGGGCTCAATCTCACAACCTTGAGATCATGACCTGAGCTGAAATCAAGAGTCAGACGCTTAACTGACTGAGCCACCGAGGCACCCCTATATTTTTTTTAATTAAGATACAGTTGCTATATAACATTGTGTAAGTTTAATGTGAACAATGTACTGACTTGATACATTTATATAATGTAATATAATTACCACCATAGCATTAGTTATCATCTCTATCACATCATATAATTATCATTTCTTTTTTTGTGGTGGGAAAAATTAAGATCTAGTCTCTTAGCATATTCTTTATACACACACACACACACACACACACACACACACATATATGTATATTTTCCCCCAAATCAGTCCCCTTAAAGAATATAGTCAATATAACTTAAGTCCATTCAGTTACACTATATAGTTAATAGTGGCTATGCTTACCTGAAAACCTAAGCCTATATTAGATGTACACATTTATATAAGTAACTGCATAGGTTATAGATAATAAAGCAAGCTATCTACAAAGTAGATATTTAAAAGAGGCAATACATTTTACTCTTAAGTTATATTATTTGTTTCAATTCTTCTAGTATATTAAATTTACACACATAATACCATATTAAAACAAGCCTTAACATGATCTCAGTCATGTATACATTGCTAGAATCCAATGTTTAAGCATGTACATATATGCCCAGCATTGAAACAGTGCATAAGTTTAAAAAATACCTTAGAATTAGAAGGCAGAAATACAGTAATCACATTTTGGAATGTATTAAATATGGATAGACATTAAAAATAAATAAAATATAGCTATAATTTTTTAAATAAATAATTTTAAATTCTTTTTAGCAGGTACATTAATCTTTAATAATAAAATAATTCAGAAAACAATTCCATTTAAACAAATTCACTCAAAGCAACTCTTTAATAAAATGGTTATAAAAGACATGCCAACCATTTGGTGAATGATATTTTTCATAAAGATTAATAAGTTTTCTAATTATAAGACTCTTAATAAATGCTATTATCATTACTTTCATGCAAATTGGTCAGTTTATATTGCCAGGCTTCTCTTTTAAACAATATCTGATGAACTATGGTCAAACCAAGATAAAGATTAAACAATTTATTATTAAAACATTATGACTTTTATATACATATTAAAAAAAGAATTTTGGGGAAAATAAAGAAAGGCTAAAAATCATAATACATGCTACGTGCTTCCAGATTCCAGTTTGCATTCCTATGTCTTATTGCCATGAAATAAACTATAGTCTGGATTGCAAAGTCTGTCCTATGCACATGCCGAGACTTATTGGCATGCTTGAGAGTTGTAAACAATATATTAGTTAACTCCAAAAATAGGAAGACTGAGATGTGTTTTCTTGTTTGGCATACATAAAGTAGGAGAGTTTTTAAAAAGTACAAGAGTCAAGCCTGTTAGCCCTAACATATTTTTTTTTTAATGTGAATGGAAGTATTGTGAGTGTCTCTTCCATTTTTTAGAAAGTTTGTTTTATTTATTTATTGTTAATTCATCTTTACATCCAACGTGGGGCTCAAACTCATGACCCAGAAATTAAGAGTCCCATGCTTTACCAACTGAGCCAGCCAGATGCCCCTAGCCCTAATATTAACCAACCTTTAAAGTATTCCACTAAGTTGCTACAACTAAAACCAGAAAACTCCCCTCACCTTATCTAAGAAGTGTTAATTTTTTCTGTTTTCTTAATCTACTGCAAAACCAGAAAATATGTATCACTTATTGACAATGATTTTATACTTCCATAAATTGAATCTTAAGGCCTTAATTCTGTACCTATGGATGCTCTCAGCAGGGAAGGGGTGTTACTGGTTTCTGATAAAACCTTTAGTGGTGGTTGTGGTGAGGGGGTGGATAAGCAACAACAAAAAACTTACTCAAAAAGAAAAGAATCAAACTTACCAAGTTCTACTATATTTTAAATAGAAAGAAGTAAAAGGTAGTCCCAATTTTGGGTAAAACATTTAAAAATTTTCCTCAAATATCAGTATTCTCCTGGATTCACACAATTATAAATATGCTGACTTCTATTTAGTAAAAGTATAGTTTAATACTTGACCATGAAGGAGCTACTGAGAAACGGCATGGGTTTTCTTGGGTGCTCCTTATAGTCAGGAAGACACCGGTTGATTGTTTCTTGGAGAAATAACAGCATGATTTCAAACAGAGGAAGAAGAAACAAAGCAGGTTAGCACTGAAGGGGCATGCCAGGGTTGGGAAGAAGAATACCTGTTCTTACTCCCTTTAGCTTTTTACAGGAAAAGATAAATATTAGGGACTTCATGTCCTCACCTTTAAGTCTACAGAGATCAGCAAACACTTTTTATTGCTATAAGAATTTAATTCAAAAAGCATTTATGGAACCTCTTAGGTATACAAAACTTTGGATTGCTATCTGATGCTGACTTCTAAAGGCAATGCATCTAGAACACTCATCTATTAAACCATGAGTAAGTATCTTTATATTTTAAACAACAGCTTAGTGATTATTGGTATAATATTTACTGACATAAGATATGAGATTAATTTAATAGCAGTCTATATAAGCAGTTTTCAAAGTGTCTTATTGTAATTAGTTATTGAGTAGTGTAAACTAATTTATTAGTATTATTTAAATATTTAAAGTAACCACAAAATTTGCAAAATAATATTACAACTAAGACTATCAATTCTAAACCAAGTCAGAAAATTTGATCTATGGTTGATGTTTACATTTGAAGTATTCCATAGGTACTACATCTATACCTTACAAGAACACATCAAAATATTTAGGCCGAGATGCGAAACCAATTTTTGAATGCTTATAAATTGTCTCATATAAAATATAAAAGTAAACTTTAGTATGCAAAGTACAATTTATTATTCCAATTTTATTGCTAATTTTAACATTAAATCTAAAACAAAATAACATAAAATTGATGGAAAGTGGATTTAGCTAAATGGTTTGTGATGTCATAAGCTATAATAAAACTACAAAAAGAATTTATTATCATTATTGATGAGATAATAATAAAAATATAAATGATAAAGATTGCCATGCAGCAGGATGTAAAATATAATTTGAAATTACCGGGAGTATCAAGGTCACTTTCTAAGTTAGTAAGTTCATCTCCACCTCCTACAACAAAGACTTCAGGAATCTCCTCGTTAGTATCTATCTCAATATTATCATTTTCATCTGTAGGAACATGTAGCAATAATGTTAGTATATTATTTCTATTTTATATCATTTATCCAAAACACTAAAGTAGAAAACCCAGTACTCTAATGACAGTTGTTCAAATATGGTCTGACACAGATCAGCAAGAAATCAGTTCTAAGTCACTTTTCACTACTGGATTAACATTTATATTTTACATTCACATGTCAAAGATGAATTGTCACATCAAAGCAGATACAAAGGTTTTGACAATTTGCCACACGCGGTCTCTGAGTCACTGAGCTCATCAAGTCCCTATATCTCAAGTTGTAATGTGTAAGTAATCTCCAGTAACAGCATACAAAAATAAAGTTGATTTGGTAATAAAGTCATTAAATAATATTCCTAACTTTCACATTTTTAGCATTTATTAGATATAAATGTATAAAGAAACAAATCATTCTTATTAAACTTGTAGCTATATTTAAATCATTTGCATGAAGACTTGAATGTTTTTCTACTATTAATGAATATTACCATAAAAGCATTATGGATAAATTAAGAGACAACATTGAGACTGGAATAGACAGTACCTGATGCAAAAGAAAGTTCAGAAACAATTAGAACAGTACATCTTGGAAGACTGAAACCTGGGAAAAACTGTTACTATTGAAAACTAAAAACATGGAAATGAGGAAGTCTTACACTATTTTTTATACACTTAGTAAAATGTTTTAGGTCACAATTAATTAATGGAGGTTTTTTTTTTACATTAAGGTTTTCTATTTTACACTTTTTTCCTTTCTAAATCCAAATGATAAAACTGGTTAAGTAGTTTTGAATTTTATGTGTTGAAAAAGCATACCAATAATTGGATTTGCAAGTTAGAGGATTAGCTTTAAATTCTGTTATTGACAGGCAGTGTACCTTTTAGAGAAATACCTGTCTAGCCCTGAAAGTCAAAGAATATCCTTACTATTCTACAACTAAAATTTTATTGGACAACTTTTATTAATAATGAGGTATTCTAACATTATTACAATTGAAAAATTCTAAAATTCCACAGTTTTGGCTTAATCCTTCAATATCTGTCCTTTTCCCTGCATACCTTTGTGTGTTTGATTTGGGGCCTCCCCAGGTAAATACTTACTGTGATCATTAATATTAATAATAATAGTTCACATTTATTGAAGATGTTCCAGGTACTATGTAAGCCATTTAGAAGAACACCACAAAGAAAAAAAAACATTAAGAAATGACCCTGGGAAAAAACACATCTAAATGCCTTCAAAATGCTAAGGCATTATACTTGGCTACATTATTTAAGTACAATCAGTTGAGAGATATTTTCTTTCTTTTTTTTTTTTTAAAGATTTCATGTATTTATTTGAGAGAGGGAGAGCACAAGCAGGGAGAGCGGCAGGCAGAGGGAGAGGGAGAAGCAGACTCCCTGCTGAGCAAGGAGCCGGACGTGGAGCTTGATCCCAGGATCCTGAGGACCCGTGACCTGAGCCGAAAGCAGACACTTAACCGACTGAGCCACCCAGGCACCCCTAAGAGATATTTTCTAATCAGCTGTGCTTAGCACAACTAATTTCATAAATGTTAGCATCTTCATTATCCTAAAAAATTATCCAAATAATTTTGCAGTAAACATAAATGAATGAATAAGGATTTCCTGACTGCTAAGTGTTTAGAACACTTCCTTGTATTACTCTGCCAGAGATAGTTTACTATCAGTTTTTAGAGTGCAGTACTTTGTTGCTGTCAACCAGCCTCTATTGATTATTACTGACCATAATTAACACAGAGTAAAAGCATAAAATTCAACATTCATTCTGCACACTGTATCTACAATTTACAAAACACTGCTAGATGTTGAGATACCAAATTGTATAAGACACTTATTCCACCTTAAAGGTATATATTCAAGTGACTACAAAACCATGTAGGACAGATAAGTGTTTGGGGGTAAAAGGAAGTTACAGAGCAGATGCAAAAGATGAAAAGATTACTCTTTGCCAACAGTACCAGGAATTGTTCTTTGGAAGCATTAACCTTCAAAGCATACTTAAAGGGAAATAACAGGAGGTAAGTCTTAGAAGGCAAAACTGCAGAGAGCCCTGAAGGGCAGAATGGGAAGTTTAAATTCTACTTAATAGGAATGGAGAGATACTGGTGCTCTAACATGATCAGCAATGTGTTCTTTAAGAGTAGTCTATATAAGCAACTTTCTATCTAAGTGTTTTATTGTAATGAGTTGTGAAATATGTATAAAATAATTAGTAGTAATATATGCACTGAAGTTTATGACTTTTATAAATTACAGTGGCTTCAATATTATCCCTAAAATATCACTCCTGCTTACATTCTGATATGCCTTCTTATGTGAAGGAAAAAGTGGTCTAGGGATTGCCCACAGGAGTGTACTATGCATGTGACATCATCCTTCATGTGCGTGAGACTGCTGACCTAGATGTCAGACTGGAGAACTGAAAGGTTGGAGGCAGGAAATCAAGGTTGAGACTGTGATATTAACCTCCAGGCAAGCAGTACAGAGAGCCTAACCTAGTATTTAAGAATTGGGAGTGGGTATGATGTAATCTGAAAACCTACTGGCTGGATAGTGAGTGGCTAGGGAAGGATAGTGAGGAGGAGAAGGGTGAAGCAGACATCAAAATTGACCCCTCCTGTCTGAGTGACTAGAAGGATGGCATTGCTATGAAAAGAAACAGCTAAGTCTGGAAATGTGGTCAGATATGGGTACTTTCAGGTTCTGGAGATATGTAGAAAATTGTACTTCCTTTCATTATTCACATATACAGTGCTGGGTTCCTGTGTGATGTTAAATGGGTGCCATTCATTTTACTTCCAGTGAAATGAACTCTATTTATATTACCACTCACCAGCAATGCTGAGTGGGTTAACTCAGTATTTATATATGTATTGCTAACCTTAGATAAAAGGATTACTATTGGGGAGGGCAAGAGTAAAAATTGATCTCCTATACAGCTCAAGTCTTCTTAAGAATGGATTTCTACTTTCTTTCCATTCACTGACTTCAGTTTTAGGACAAACCCTCGAATTCTTTTCAACATTAATGTTACACATTTCTTAACACCTGTGGAAATGGTCTAAATGCATCCTAGCAGAACTAAAGTGCATGTGTGTCTGTGTGAGATATCACATATTGTGTTTATGACATCTATCTATTTATCTATCTAATCTATCTTTATGGCTAACAACTGAAAACTTAGTAGGCGAGCATGGCAGAAACTAAACTGGAGACCCAACAGAAGTTGGTTTACAAATATGGCACATATAATGTATGCAAGAAAAGGTAAAAGGAGATTGGATATGCATTGGAATGAGACAGCACATTCCAGCTGACACTGAGCAGCACTATAAGCAAAATGGGAATCCTAATGGTATGATTAATAGCATAGCAATAAGGCCAGTCTTACAAAACTTATCATTTATAAATAAGTTGAATGAAAAAAAGGGTATCTGGTGACAGTAAAAAAAACACTTTTACAAAAAGAAACTGAGGTGATCATAAAAATATATTCAGAAAAAAATTCAGAAAATATATTCAGAAAAAATTTTCTCACTTGTATCATGATTTTTTAATTCTCATTGAAGGTCCCTATACAATTAATGACTTTTAAAGTTATTCTGTAGAAATCAAACATGAGACAGAAAACACAATACAAATATAATTATTAACAGAAGCTGAAAATAAAAATTACTGAAGGCCTATAAGATCTCATTTTGGTTCAACAAATTTAGATAAGTCTATTGCCATAACTGAAATAAAGACAACACAGTAACACAAACATTCTCATGGATGAAATTAAAAAAACATTTCCTTTATACACTTGAAATGTAAAAACAAAGAACACTACTTTATCTAAGTCAAAGAGTGGCAACAATGTCCAATGAAACGTTAAACGACCCTAACCTAACTCAAACCAAAGTGATAAGCTACAGAATAAATATATATAATAAATAAGATACATATCATATTTAATATACCATATAATATATAGTAAATATATGATATAATGTTAAAACAGGATAGATACCTCTTTCCAAGTATCCATGGACTATTAACAAAAGTTTACCATTTATTCAGTCAAAATAAAAGCTTATTAATTCCCAAAGCAGAAATTCAGGCCATATTCTCAGACCACAACATCATACAACTAACAATGAAAATACTAAACCTTGTCCCCAAACACTTGTACCTCGCCCAGTGAAGATCAGTACAATAAAATGAACCCACTAGTTTGCTACACAGAACCAGGATTTTCTTTTCTTTTCTTTTAAGATTTTATTTATTTATTTGAAAGAGAAAGAGAGCATGAGCAGGGGGAGGGGCAGAGGGAGAGGAGAAGCAGGCTACCCATTAAGCCAGGAGCCCGATGTGGGGCTTGATCCCAGGACCCTGAGATCATGACCTGAGCAAAGTCAGAAGCTTTACCAACTGAGCCACCCAGGCACCCCAACATAGAACCAGGATTTTAAAATGAAGTTATTATAGGTCTATAACTACCGAATGATGCAGAAATTGAAAAACATGATATACACTACAATATCACCTGATTCTTTCATAAGCCCTAAAATTATGTCAAAAGGAGGACAAGTAAAAGCTAGCCTATAGCTCCTTGGACAGATATGATTCTGTTATTTCACAAGAATTATGCAATTTCTGGTTGCAATAGGATGCAAGTGGGTTGCTTGAATATGGCTATATACAGGACCTAAAATACTTTATGCATATTTTCTGTGGACACCATGAAGCTGAACATACCTCACCTCAAATTTACTAAGTTTCCTTTTCTCACTGAGACAGGTTGCTGCTTGAGAACAGAAAAAAGCAAGCTTTTCAAGTAGGTTCAGGCAATGAGTCTGAGTAATGATCATGTTCAACACATTCCCCAGGCTGTACTTCCTTGTTATTATTTCAGCTCTTGATACCCCCTCCTTTGTCCCTCTGGAACACTGCTTCCAAAATCTTCCTAACCTCATCCTCCATCTAGGCTGGTCCCTATTTATTTCTCTCTCCTCCTTTTACATTATTTCTTATTCAGACCAGATGATTCCCACTAGACAATAGAAGAGTAGATACCAATTTGTTAATTTTTCCCCCTGACTTATCAACCTCATAAGGTTATTTTCCCTTAGGAATTAGACTCTTGTAAACCCAAGTGAATTTCTAATTTGCTATGCAAGGATCAGCAAACTAGCAAGGGGGAAAAATCTAGCCTGCCACAGTTTGGGGGTAAATAACTAGCAGGCCCATTCATTTATATAATGTTCAAGGCTACTTTCAGGCTACACGGCCAGTAGTGAGTAGTTTAAACAGAGACCATAGGCCTTCAAAGCCTAAAATATCTACTTCAGCTATTTTCAGGAAGTTTGCTAAATCCTGGCCTAGCACAGTGACTATCACGGCTCATTAGATAAATGCATACGTATAATGGTTGAATGTCAGGCAGGAATTTTACCCTTTCACTTGTCCTAAAGGTCTCTTCCCCTTCTCCCAACCTCAACAGCTTCAACTTAGACCTTGAGGCCAGAGAAGCCCTAGTCTGATCCATATACCTTTACTCAGGTCAGGGAACAGGCTTCCTCCATTTGTTGTAGGTCAACCTTAGCTCTGATTAAGAGCCTATCATCTGATATGTGGCTGCTTTCAATATCGAAAATATAGTGTGTCCCATTGGCGAAATGGACCCTGGTCACATTGGTCTTCTTAGGGAACAGAGTCTAGACTCTTTAGGTTTTCATAAGTTATCTATTGAACCCCATCCCATCTTCATTTCACCTGGCTTTCCCTGTTCTAGTCTATACTTCTTTGCCAGCTTGCAAATCCAATCCTCATTTGTTTTTATTTACTTTGTTGACTACTGAATGATGACAAAATCAGGTCTTCACATTCCCTAGTTACCAAGTAGGGAAAATACCCATTCTTTGGGTTGTCACACTGATGAAGTCCCTCTACCTAGTCTAGTCCTGGCTTAGTCTCAACTGGGGTTGGACTATAGTGGTAAGACCAATTATACAGATGACCCTTCCTATCTATGAATTTTCATAGATGAAGAAAAGCTTGGGTTTGATTATTAGAAAGCAAATATCTGATTGATGGAGGCACAAGGTTTATCCATAAAAATAAAGTAGATAAAAAATATATAAAAATAGATATAAGAAAGAAAAGATGAAGATCAGTGTGCTTGAGTCTTTCAAAGAGTAGGTCAAGTACCACCTTAGACTAGGAGGAGAAAGAAAAAAATGAGAAGGTATAAAGCAAGGGGCAGTTGGAAGAGCTCATCAAAAGAAGAACAGATCAGGAGGGAGCACATGGACAAGAGAGTTAGCAGTGAAAGACCAGTCAGCACCAGGGCTGGAAAAGCCTTTAAAGTGAGCTCCACTCATGGTCTATGATAAAGCCTTTGTTGTCATCCAGTGACATCTGCCTGAACTCTGAGACTTCATTTTAACATTAACCAAACTACCTAAAAACAGCAGTAGTAAATAATTAATTAATTAAAACTTTTAATTTTTAGCCTTCCCAGAGTTTACAGCTTATTTAAAATAGCATTATTATTTGCTCACCACTGAAAAAAATAATAAAAGAGACACTGGATGCCTCTCTATCCTATTATTATCATGAGTTTATGACTTTCTCCTATGAGTTTATGATGCCACAGGAAGGGAGCATTAGTAGCTTTAGAACCTTTATATGGAGGGTCAAGAATATGAGTTTTTTTCTATATTCTGAGATATAAGGAGGCAAAGATTTTTATGACTTACTTAGAATACCCGGAATTTTTATGATGCCAAAGAAACATCTTGTTATTAATAGTAAATGAAAGCAAATTATCATAGCATTATATAAATGTAGCTATGAATAGTTACTGATGTTATTATAAAACTATAGTAGAGAGTGTAGAAATTGCAATAAAAATTCTGAATGATAGGAGTTGAAAAGTAAGATGAGGGATTAAGATAGACATTCTGAGAAGACCAGAGGGATAGATACACAGCTGTTTAGGAAAGCAGCTTTCAAATTTATGGAATGGAAATTTATATGCTATAGGCATTAACTGGAATTCTCTACAACAGTACATTTTTAATATAAGGAATCAATTAGAAATAACAGCAGTCAGTTTCAGTTTCCTTTGAAGAAACTTATCATTGACCTAGAAATAGCTTACCTCTGTTTCAGTTCTCTAAGGTCTTAATTCGAGTCCACACTTGCCTACTCTTCAGAGTGATCTTAGCATTCTAAGATTAACTCAGGACAAGTACCTGGCATGTTTTGGTAGATAAATAGGTTATACACCTTTGAAATAAAAAACAAAACAAAACAAAACAAAACAAAACAAAAAAACCCACAGGCCTCTTGAGTATACTCCTCTTAAACAAAAACGTAAAAAGTTCCAAGTTAAAGATGCCCAAATTGAGCATTAAGAGGCAAAATCAAAATTCTCCTTAATTGTATCTATAGTCCTGTCCTAACATCAAGCTGAGAATAATTTCTGCAGATACTGAAGAAGACCTTCTTAGAATAAGGAGACTAAGAAGAAATGGATATGGGGCTTACCCAAAATCCTTACACATCAGGCTATGAGGCCAGAACACTGTTAAAGCTACTTTCTAAAGATCCAGTTCCAAGCAAAAATCTTTCATGCCAAAGCTCACCACTAACAAGTCTCATGACCTAAATGATGAGGACCTGATTGCATTTTACTCACTCCTACTATAATTAATGAGGCATCATGGGGAATCATAAACCAAAGTCTGTATGAGTTTTTTCCTAAATCATATTCTAAGAAAGTACTTCTAAGAAAGTAAAAATTAAACCAAAAAGTTGATCTGGGAAACAGCAAGAGTTATCTTCTGATTTACCAAGATTCCTATAGGATTTTTGCAACATATCAATAGGTTAGAAACTATGTATTTGATGCAACATTTTGAAGTAAGAATAAAATGTCCCAAAGGTCCACTGCAGATTTCTGGGTTGTCTGTAGAATATGATACAAGATTCTTTAACTCACCTCCAGATGCCTTTGACCTTTCTTTCAACTTTTCTGCAGCCATTTCACCATAGCTGGGAAGTTCTGACATCTTCACTCCAGATCGAGCTTCTGCTATTAGCTGACGAGCTCTCTCTCTCAGCTGCCGACGTCGCTCTTCATCTTGCTGCTAAGATATATTGAACAGTTGCCAACTCAGTAATTGACAGAAATGCAATTTCATTTTCAATCTGATCATCATGATAGTAACTGGTTTACAGCATGGTGCTTGGCCCACATTATAAATAGGATGCTCTATATCAGTTGGATGTCACACCATTTTTAAAAGACATCCTAGAATCAGATTTTTTAAAAATATTTACAAATTATTGTATTAAAATGTCTGCTAAAATTTCAAACTAGCCTTTGAAGAATGCTTGGCAATATATATTCTGAGAAAATAGCAGGGACTATTATTAATAAAATAATCAGGCTTACAGAAAAAAGTCGTAATACTAAAAAACAATTTCAATTAATACCTTATTTTTTAAAAATAGAATTTAACTTGCTATTTTCTAATAAAGGTATAGTTACTGGCTAACAGACATCTTCGATAGCATTAAATGCTGCTACATCATATTGATTATATATAAGAAATAGTATTTTGAGGGGGCTGGAGTGGAATGGAGATAGTATATTAGTTATACAAGTTATAGTTGTTGGTAGTTTTTAAATCAGAATTGGGTAACTGATATACTATCCCCATTCCTACTCCCTCTCTCCCCGAATGCACATTAAGAAGAAAAAACAAGGGGTGCCTGGGTGGCTCAGGCAGTTAAGAATCTGCCTTTGGCTCAGGTCATGATCTCAGGGTCCTGGGATCAAGCCCCACATTGGATTCCCTGCTCAGCAGAGAGTCTGCTTCTCCCTCTCCCTCTGCCCCTCTGCCCCTCTGCCCCACTGCCTCTCCCTCTGCCCCTCTGCCCCACTCATGCGTGCACTCTATCTCAAATAAATAAAATCTTTAAAAAAAAGAAGAAATAAAATCTAACATGGTTTTTTATATTTAAAATAACTAAAAACTACAGAGAATTACATAACTAAAATTTCTGCTTACTAAAAAAGGATTAGAATGAATTGTAATAATCAATGTGAAAGTGCTTTGTAAACTGGAAAATACATAAAATAAGGCATCATTATAGCAAAACAAAACTTGAAATAATGTGGCCCCAACACACCTTTGCAGTGTTATCCTCCCTTAACCTCTCCCAACCTCCATAAAAGCTCACATCTATTTTATTCAGAATTGCTTTTATAGTGTAGTTTCATGCCCAGAGATTTGAATATGTCATTTTCTCTTCTTGGAATGTCCTCTCATTTTATTTAACTTCTAACTCATTCTTCAAGATTCAATTTAAATCCACTAAATTTCCCCTGACTATTCTTCCCTCCTCCCCACTGGTGGAATAACATGTGTTACTATAGTACTGTGTGTGTGTTATTACTCTTAAAAATGATACTTGTCAAATTACCTTATACTCTGTACAAATGCCTCCTTATCAATAGAACTAAGCTACTTTAAGGAAGGAGCTACATCTAATTTATCTTTGTATCTCTGGTCCTTAAGGTATACCTTGTACTTGGTACTTGCTATAGAAATTTCAAGCATGAAAACTTGTAACTTATACTCTCAAATGTTTATAATACAGAGGAAAGATAAAATGGCCACAATAAGGAATTCTGATCAAACTCGACCAAGAGTTCAGAAGAAAGAACATTTCTGGGGCGCGTGGGTGGCTCAGTCATTTAAGCGTCTGCCTTTGGCTTAGGTCATGATCCCAGGGTCTGGGATTGAGTCCCACATCAGTCTCCCTGGTCAGCGGGGAGCCTGCTTCTCCCTCTCCCTCTGCCTGCCACTCCCCGCTGCCCCCTGCTTGTGCTCTCTCTGTCAAATAAATAAATAAAATCTTAAAAAAAAAAAAGAACATTTCTGTCCGAGGAACAAACAGAAGGTATCATGGCATTATGGTTTTTGAGTTGAGCCTGCAGAATGATCAGGATTCAGAATGCATAGAGATGGTAGTCAGGAGTTAGGTGGGTCACTGTAAGAGAAACTACGAGGTGGGAACAATACACAGACACAGAGGCAAGAGAGTACAATTGAGAAAAAGTACATAGTCTAGTTTTCCTGAGCATGAGGCAAAAATAGTAAGAGAAAGACAAGGCAAGAAAAATAAAGCTGGGCAGATAAGACTGTAGAAGCCCTGTCCAACAGGGTGATTGATTGTAAAGAAAGCAAGGGCCAATTAAAGGTTTGGTTGTGTGTGTGTGTGTGTGTGTGTGTGTGTCTAGGAGAATGACCAACCAAAGGTGTTATTTGAGAAAGATGAATATGACCACAGTGTATAAGATAGGTTGGCATAGAGAAACTGGAAAGAGACTAGGTAGGAGGCTCTCATAATAGTCCAAGGAAGCTGTAATGAGATCCAGAAGTAGGATGGTGGCAACTGGAATGAAAGAGACAGTGTAAGAATATATTAGAGGTAGAACTGGTACCTATACCAATTGGTACAATATACCAACTTACTAGTTGGGCAACTAGTAAAACTGTGGCACTAAAAATAAAGATAAATTAAGAGGAGCTATAAGAAGGGAGGGAGAGAAAGTTAGGAGTAAGACAGATTGGGTCTGAGAGGCTGGCTGGACATCCAAGTGAAGATGTTAGGAGGTAGCTGGGAAGTGAAATTCATGTTAGGAAGTGAAGTCAAAGCATGACTACAGAGCTGAAACTACAGGAATATATGCAAGTACCTGAAGAGATACAGAGAAAAAGGGGAGCTACTGACTAAAGCATGGAAAACATCTGTATTAGATGAGAGGAGGAAAAGGAGATAGAGAAAGAGGAGAAGAACTAGAATGCTGGGGTATCCTGAGAATCAAAGTAGAAGAGACTTCATGAAAAATGGCTGCAGTAAATGTGAGAGGTTAGTGAGTCTGAACATTATAAAGGGCAATCAAGGGGCACCTGGGTGGCTCAGTTGGTTAAGCATCTGCCTTCAGCTCAGGTCATGATCCCAGGGTGCTGGGATGCAGCCACACGTTGAGCTCCCTGCTTTGCAGGGAGTCTGCTTCTCCCTCTCCCCACCGTGCTTGCTCTCTCTCATTCACTCTCTCTCAAATAAATAAAATCTTTAAAAAAAAAAAAAAGGGCAATCAAACTTGGTAGACAATCCTATTAGGGACAGCAGGGGTAGATGCCAGATTGGTGGAGCTCAAACCTAGGCAGTTCTTTCACACATTTTGAGATGACTAGAAATGAGAGCTTTCAAAATTAATGGGAGTAGATTAATAGGGGTATCAAATGGACGCAGAGAAATATTTGAAGCTCCTAGTGGACAAATTGAAACAATTTCAGTATCAAAAAGAACAATGACTGCAGTGAAATGAATCAATGAAATCACACATCGAATCAATGAAAAGTCATTAATTCACTGTGATATTCAAAAAGTTCTTAGATGGGGCGCCTGGCTGGCTCAATGGGTAGAGCATGCAACTCTCGATCTTGGGGTTGTGAGTTTGAGCCCCTGTTGGGTATAGAAAAAAATGTTAAAAAAAAAAGAAAACAGAATGAGGAAAAGAATAAAGGGAAAATTTTTTTAAAGTTCTTAGGAGGATGTATAAATTCATTTGAGGCAGCTTTTAAAACAACTCCTCTGAAAATTTATAATTAGAGGAAAATAATCAAGCAATTATCTTGTCCTTCTAGTAAGAACTAAATTTTAGGGTAACTAAATAGTCCCAGTCAATGAGAGAAAGCTCTACATTATACAATAATGCCAGCTATAATAATTTTTAAGAGGTAAAATTACAAAAACATAACCTTGTCATTCATAAAAGAATGACTCTGACATGGATTATCAACAGTTGTTAAAGCTCTTTGATAAATGTCTGATGGGAAACTAGATATTCATATTATGCTGTGGCAGACTGTATTTTCCAAAGATGGCCATGACAGTATTTCTCATTCCACATGTTCTCTGCAATGTGACCTTGCCACTCCCTCATCAAGTGGTAGAGTTTAATTCCTCTCCCCTTGAGTCTCAGCCAGCTTTAGGCACTTGTATTATAATCAGTAGAATATGTAAGTGTGTTGGGTGATTTCAAAGGCTAGGTTGGAAAGGCCATACCCCCCCTTTTGCCCAGTTCTCTTGAAATTCTTGCATTTTTTACTCTCTGGGAACCCAGCTGTCATGCCAGCCAAATTAAGCCTTGAGTCTTCTTGGCCCACATGCCAGACATGTGAATGAAGAAGCCTTCAGAAGACCTCAGCCTTTAGCCATTTTGTGTCAATGCCCAATTCTTCAAGTCTCCCTAGCAGAGGCCCCAGACAATGCACAATAGAGACAAAGCACTATGCCCTGTCTAAAGTCCTGACCCACAGAATCTGTGAGCATAAAAACAATTTTTTTTCACACCACTAAGTTTGGGGTAGTTTTTACACAGCAATAGTAATTAGAACATATGCTTAAGTAACACCACAGAGATTATTTCCTAGTTGCAAGGAGAAAACCTACTTGTAAATGGAGAGAACTACATGCCAGAACTAAATCGAGGATTAGGGACCACTAATCTAATGGTCAGTCTTGGCATCACTAATGTCGGGTCAACCATATGTTATATTTTTTGATGTGAAGGACATAAAGTGCACACTGCCAATAATATTCTAGCCCAAATGCTTAAAGTGAATCCACTAAATAACTTCCAGTTTATCATATACACAGAGGATAGAGAAACATGATAAATGACATAGCAAGGAAGCAACTAAATAAATCCAGAAAGGTATGATATTCAGGATAACTGACCTGGTCATTTTAACAAGAAAGTTATGAAAACAAACACAACAAAAACCAACTAACCAATTACCATTACCACCAACAAAAGAAACCTAACCAGATGCAATGTATAGTCCCGGGTTAGACAGTGGTTTGGACAAACAAGTTGTACGGGACATTGCTGAATCAATTACAGAAATCTGAATATAACCATAGTATTAAATGAGAGGAAATACAAGTTGACTGGAAAAAAAAAAGTTTATACAATAATAACCCCATTTTGTCATTTTGGCAAAATAAATACACAGAAATATATGTATAGAAAAAGACTTGGAAGGGTATTCACAAAGTTGTTATG